GTTTTTCTTGGTTGACACCACGTATAGCACCTTAATTTATATATTTACTTTTTTTTTTACATTTTACCGTGTTAATATAATTGCATACTCGCCCGTCTGTCAAAACGTTACAAATACGTCGTTGGTATGTTTTTGTCGATTCCCCGCGGTTCAATTATTATTAAAATAAAAAAAAAAATAATGTCAACTTTTTCTCGAGTAAAACTTTGCCCTTAAAAACTCCAGTAGAAAACGAGATATCGAACTTATCTCTTTTTTACTTCATATAACTCTATTCCCTCGCGAATGTATGTATATATATATCCTAAGAAATTAATATTTTATAATGCAGTGTAAACATACAGGAGTATAATTTGACGAAAAAACGAATATATAAGAGTTAACTTGGCGTACGATTTTTAATCACATGGAGGCATTCAATAAATTGCGTTTTATTTATTACGAATTTAATTTATTTATTTCGTTTATTATAAACGTATATCTTCATCCCCATCATTTGCGAATTTTGATATTCAACCGTAATTATTTTCGATTTATTATCAGAACGCATTCTGGAGTGTTGCAGTGTACCTACTTGTATTTTATCGTTACGATAATGACGACTCGTTTTATTTTATCACATAGGCTGTTCATAAAAATAAAAAAACGGACGAAATGCGCACAATGCTTGTCTTTCGAAATTGAAATATGTACACACACGTTATATACGCGCTTATATTATTCTGTAAACGTCTGAAAATATCGTACCTAGAAAAATGTCACTTAAGAGGCTGCTGACGTCTCCTCGGAACTCGTCGTATATTATAGCAGTACTCGCACGTAAATTGGTTTCAAATTTTGTCGGCATTTTTGCGAAGACTGCATGTTCCATCCACCGCCCTCGTTCGTATATGACATATAATATTATCGTACACGTATACACACACACACACACACACATATATATATGTATGTATATATATATACATATATTTATTAGTGTTGTGTTTTCATCGTAACGCGTTATGACGGCTATTTCGGCCCGTCTCGTCGCGTCGGATGAAGAAAAAATAAAGCAAAAAAAAAAATCGAGCGGGTCCGTTCCTCAAATACAAAATGATGGTGTCTAGTACATCACGAAGCGCGTGTCATTACAAAATGTACATTTTACGTACTTAGGTTTCTGTGCGAGTCGGTTCTTCAGAAAGATACTCGACGGGATGTGTTGTATGTCCGCGGGATATGTAAGCCGTCGCGTACGAATAAATGGAAAAAAAATCTGTCGAAAAAGACGTGCGCTGAGCTGAACCGTTTGCAGTGTTGTTTGTATTATCATTAGTATTATTATTATTTCTTTTACTGTTATGAAGGGAATCGTAGTGTAGTCGTCGTACGAGTTAATCAACCGAAACGGTGAAGCAAGCCGGGCGGAAGGACCCGATAAAATAAGAGAAGAAGAAGAAGAAAAAAAAAGATAGAATCTCGCGTATGCACGTATAAATGTATAATAAACTTATGTGATACGTGCGTGTAAAGGAAAGAGGAAGATATGATTTTTTTTTTTTTTTTAACTTTTCTTCTCGTTCCGCTGCCGGTGACACACGCGCATGCGTGCAATACGATACTATATCGTCTTGTGTACATGTGTTTGCGTGCGTGCGTGCGTGTGTGTGCATTAAAATATATCGTATATATATATACATATTATTATAAATGATACGCGTTGTTGGACCGACCGGAATCAAGTTTCGAATACGTTTTATCTCTTGCGTCGTACAGTACAATAAAAATATATTTACGAGTATTATTATTGTTATTTTTTTTTTCATTACTATATCATCAGGAACGAGCCGGTCCACCAGCCAACTGTCTTGTTGGGTTTTAGGTCCTTGTAATTCGGGGCTATTCGTCAATAAGTACCAACGGACCATAATTAATGGATTCAAAAAATTTTATATTTTTTAATATCCATTTCACTGTATTTAGACATTTATACAAAGTTTATGAGTACGTTTTAACTTTAACTGTAACTCAAGTAAATAACGATATCACTTTCAGTAAACTGAAAATAATTGAAAATCGCTTATGATCATTAATAGGACAAAGAAAGTTTAGAAGCAATCATAATAAGGTCTTCCGAAAATTGAATTTAAGAAAATGTTAATTTGGAGAATGTTCTCGATATTTTTAATCAATTTTCTGCGTTATTTCATAAATTACTGTTAGCGTAGTGTAGCTATTTTATTTATATTTGACTGGTTTAAATTAAAGTTTCAAGTCGTATTAAATACTGTTTTAGTAAAGTAGGTTTTAATTCTACGATATAGTATCATATTGACTTAAAATCACCCGAATGTACATGTTCAAAAATTGATAAACATGATAGAATGCCACCTCTAGTAAATAGTAAAATTTGGGAGTATAAAGCAATGAATAATTTTAAAATATATTTATTCAAATTATTTAAATATATGTACAGAACATGGGATTAGAATTATAATTTCTATATAGCAATAAATCAATAAACAAAATAAATGTTTTAAATAAACATCAAAAACAGGTGCTGTTTTGTATTTCAATTTTGAAAAAGATGTTTTATTTGTACACAATTTATTAATTAATAATAGCGGTGAAGATTTATTTAATTATTTATTATTTATCACGGCTGCGTTCGACGGAAAAATAGTAATTGCTAATTACGAATCAATTACGAATTTTCCTGAACTAGGGTCTTTTCTGATCATAGGACATTATCGATTTTTATTTCAACGCTACGTATGACGATAATGTTTTCGATCGTTTTTTCGCACCTACAAGTACGTGTTCGTCGTATTCGTGTGTCCGCGATATTTATGAAATGTATTTCGTGCCGCGGCTAACCGGGAATCCGCGAAATGTTATTATTTCATCATCGTTACGTTCTGTGTACAACGTATAAATATTAACATAATATATCGTACGTTTAATATTTAAATACACAAGGCATTGTACTCGGGATGACATTCGACGCTTTTCGGCGAAGCAACACAGTGTACGCAGGTGCTGTTCGTATCGCACGACGACGATAGTCCGCCTTATCGCGCGTCTTCCAACCCGTTGCATCGCTTTTTTCCCGTACCAAGACCTTTATTGAGACGTTCGAACGTCTTTTTCCCGATCGCTTTACATGCCAGTCACGTAACATAATATTATTCGCGTGTACGGCAATAGAGTAGAATTTTTGACGAGTGATTATTAATATATTCCGATAGGATTCATATCCGATTCTTCCGACGACCATTCTCAGTAAACAATATCTAATTAATACGCATTTCGACTACAACACAACACGTGTCCGTACGAATACGAACTGTTTACACGCGCTCTGGATCGATTAAAATATTTTTTGACGGTTTTACCGTCCACTTCTCGCCGCCGCCGTTGTTCTACTCACGTAAAGCTTTTGTGACAGCCGCGCTAAGCCGTGATTCTAGTCTTTCGAGCCCAACGTTTCGCTCACGCGGCACCTTTATCGATCGTCACATGGTGAATCGCCGTCATAACAATGCATAAGCACGACTGTTATTATTACCATAATTATTAATATGACGATTTATTACGATGTGGCCGTTTGAGGGACACGGTCGTGGGCAAGATTGGTCGCAGCAGCATGACGGACACAATAATTATCGTGCGACCTGCAGCGGTAGCCGTATTGACCGTCGATTACATATTCTCAACCTTCCCACCGGCGATCAAGTCTAGCCTACTTCTCCCGCACCTCCACTGCCATGCCGTGCGCTACATCCCGACAATAATAATAATATAGCTTCGGCAGCGATGCATGTGCGTGCGCATGTGTTCATTATAATAACATTATCGTAATCGTCGCCGATTATGCACACGGTACACATAATCGTATATTACAACGATCTCGAATAATAACTAACTCATTATGATACTTACATCGAGGCGACGCCGGACGCATAAAACATGTAGTTATGCACACGAGTACACATGCGTGCGGTCCTACGCTACATACGTGCTCGGGACTTTGCCAAGAGAGATGATAGTACGTAAAGCGATTACTGTTTGGGTTTACAGCTACTCGCGAAATGTCTTGTACACGCTTCCACGTGTTGACCTACCGCAGATGCGTACAGATGTAGACAACGAACCGTTCGTATGACGGCTGTTAAAACGATTTTGATCGATGCGATAAATACAAATATATTGTAACGCACGCATGCAATCTGTACGTACCTACTACATGTTATCGACAAAACTGAAACGATACAATCGCGGTCGTGTATTTAAAAGCAGCGCGAGCGAAGACGAAAATCGCGGTCATATTTTTTCCTTTGCGCATCAGTCGATGCATGTGCGTGTAAACACTACAGAAAAACACTATCCGGAACGACACGGAACGAGCGCATAAATATTCATTAATTTACACTCACATATATACATGAGCACACGCACGCACTGTATAAACAGAACTGGCATAATAAATATTAATACAAAATAGACAATAACAATAACGTAACGCATATTCGACACGACTTGTTCGCATGCAGATGCGTACGCTTTCGTCGCAAAATTATTTATAGCCCATTAGTAGACCATCCGCAGAAACCGTGGTGTACAATACATGTACGTTTACCTGTATAATACCTGTATACAACGATAATAATAATAATAATAACACGTCGTCATCTACAATGCTCGACTTGGAAAAATTAAAGAAGTGGGACTCTATTTACTTTAAAAAAAAAGAGCGTCTCCAAAACTTGTTAAGCGTTATAGTTATAACATAATAATAGTAGGGGGACGCTAAAATTTCTGAAAATTAGTTGGAGTACTCCGTCCCCTTGCGTCCCCTCTCAAGTCGAGCACTGGTCTTCTATCGAATTGTCGTGGACGTCTTATATACTATATACTTTTCGCACGATAAATAACGTTAACGTAATTTTCTTACGTGACGAAAATAATGATTTATACTTCGTTAAAATAAATAATAATTATTCGTTTTCTGTTTGCAGCGTGAGTGGCTGCAGAGGGATGTGGACAGAGAGAGAAGACTGCGTTTGGACACGGAGGCAAGACTTAAGGGTTCCAGTTCCGAAGCGGACAGATGCCGTGCCAAACTGTCAGCTCTGCAAAAAGACTTCACCAAGTAAGTAGTGTTTTATTGATCTCAATCTTGCACACTGTAGCATTCGCGTTTGATGTATTATGTTTTTTTTTTTTTTTTTTTTTTTAATATACGGACATTACCTCAAAACGGTACCCAAACTGAATAAAAGTAAAAGCGTAACTTTCATATAAATACATACACCCTTAATACGATTTGGTAACAGTTGACAATCATTTTGATGTGATATTGTACACCTGTAACATGACATTACATCGTAATATTATAACATACAATGAGACGCCTGTACGATGATTTTATTGTGAATGTTAAATTGGTTTACATTTTATAATCCCAGTTTTTCACTGAGTGTGTATGTATATAATATTTAGTTATTATTTGTCTGGCCCGTCATCTCACATAATTTATGGCGATAAATTTCCGATACTGAGAGGCATACTATTATTTTACCCACCGGAATTTATGTAAACATTTTCGTGACTATACAAATCGATATGACTATTAATTCATATTATCTACTTAAACGTTCATGGTTTTCATGGCGTCGATTTATTTTTCGCTCTTTGGCAGTCTCCGTGTTTTTTCGGCAGAGAAAAGAGAAAACGTATGACTAAAAATGTTATTGTAACGAGTATGACATGACATGACGGCGACGATGATATCTTCTTATTATAATAATACTGTACGTCTTGTTTTGAAGTTTTAACACCTTATTTACAATTATAACACAAATACATCTATATCATAAGCATAGTACAGAAACTACTTATTTATTCAAACATCACTGTAGTGGTGCTATATAGTGGCGATGGTAACGTTCTTTATACAGTATTGTTAACGCGATAAATCACTTATCATTTATCACATTAAAATACGTAAATTCCACATTCAATTAGGTTTTTTTTTCTTCTTTTTATTCATTCACTTGATTTTAAAACCTAAGCTGCGAATTGCGTGCAATGTTGTTCGTTCCGAAACAACTCGACACTATTTTGCCATTACACACGCATCCGTGCGCTCAAAACGTTTTATATTATACGTACTTTAAACTTATGTTTTCTTCAGCACTCAAGCGCTCTTGAAGATTTGTACTTGTATATATATATATGTGTGTGTGTGTGTGTGTGTGTGTGTGTGTGTGTGTGTGTGTGTGT